CAGAATTTAACTGCTCTTGGGTATCTCTCAACATAATTATGTCGTGATAAATATGTGCATTCTTCATGATAATGTAGTTATGGTTTTAATTAACGTAGTTTCATTCACACCATTACATTTTTTTAGAAACACAGCGATTTGATTGGTCATAAGGGGGAAGGTGATACTTGCAAATGGAAACTCAAATCCCAATGATTTGAAGTGTAAACTACATACCAAGTCACTCACTTTTTAGTTCAGTTAATAACGAGATGTTCCACCCCCAAAAGTTATAATTTAGTCACTCAATTAAAATATTATATTACTTTCATGAGGTAATAACAGTTCAAGAATAACTCGTTGATGCTTATTATAGAATGTAATTATTCAACTACTATTTTGATCTAATGGATTTGTTTGATTTGACATTATAATAAAAAATGACTAAACTAATATTTTAATTGAGGGATTAAATTATATAACTTTTAGAAAAAATAATTTGTTCATAATCAAATTGATAGTTAAATGACTTGGCGTGTATTTTACCCTAAAAAGAGAGTAACTAATTAGAAAAAAGTACAATAATTTGGGAATTAGAAGCTAAAATATGCACCAAGATACTATGTTTTTTAAATTTGATCAGAAATTTGAATATTGACATTTACGAATAGAATAAACTTAATTGAAATGGTCACTCTTGCTTCTATCTTGATTAATAGATAGATAGATTCGGATACAAATAAAAATGGTTGTCCATTGTTCCCATATGTAATGGGGTGAGGGGGAGGTAAGATAGTAGGCTGCCCCAACACTAGATTGAGAGCAGCTTCCGTAGGAGACCTCCAAATTATGAAATGTCCTCCATAAGACTCGATCCCACGACCTCATTGTTAAGAACCTTGTGCTCTACCAACTGAGTCGGATACAAATGATTAATTAAAAAAAACTAAAATGGGCACCTACCTTCCTACATCAACCACCATATTTGGTATGGATCTCATTGAGATCGAGATGAAGAGAGATTTGACAAGTTGACAGAAGCTGAACAGTTGTCACTTGAGTTAAATAAAACTATCTGCAAAAGGTGACCTTTGATTTTGCCTTACACTATACAATCAATCATTGAAAACACCCTTGTTTTTTTTTTTTTTTTTTTGTATTTTCCGAAAGAAACCGGGCAAGTTGTTCTTGGAACCCATATATAAATTCAAGTCCTTGACAAAGGTTTTCCATTCATCAGTCTCTAATAAGCTCTCTTCTATCTCTTGCTTCTTCACTGCAGCAAGAAAGGGGGTTAGAAAATGGCTATTGAGATTGAGAAACCCAGTGTTGGACTATCCAAGGTTGCAGTTTCTGATACTCATGGAGAAGACTCTCCATATTTTTCCGGCTGGAAAGCTTATGATGAAAACCCTTACAATGAATCAAGCAACCCATCGGGAGTTATACAGATGGGACTGGCTGAAAATCAAGTAAGTGTAATATCTGAGACAAGTTGAAGCAATATGTACAATTTGCATGAAACAATGTTCTTATTATTACTTGTTCCTCGTGCAGGTTTCATTTGATTTATTGGAGAAATACTTGGAAGAGCATTCCGAAGCATCAAGCTGGGGCAAAGGAGCCCCTGGTTTCAGAGAAAATGCTTTGTTCCAGGACTACCATGGATTGAAATCTTTCCGGCAGGCTATGGCGAATTTCATGGAGCAAATTAGAGGAGGAAGAGCCAAATTCGACCCTGATAAAATCGTTCTAGCTGCTGGTGCAACCGCAGCTAATGAGCTTTTAACATTCATTTTAGCAGATCCTGGCGATGCTTTGCTGGTTCCAACTCCATACTATCCGGGGTAAGAGCAAGTTCAGATTATAAATTCCAAGTTTCGAGCTTCGTTAATTTGTAAAGTAACGGTGCTGATTTGGAACCCTTTTTGTTTTTCGTTCAGATTCGACAGAGATCTGAGGTGGAGAACCGGTGTGAAAATAGTTCCAATCCATTGCGATAGCTCAAACAATTTCCAAGTTACACCAGAAGCCATGGAAGCTGCATATCGAAGTGCAGAATCCATGAACTTGAAAGTTCGAGGGATACTGATAACAAACCCTTCGAACCCATTAGGTGCAACAATCCAAAGGTCGGTCCTGGAGCAGATTCTCGATTTCGCCGTGAACAAAAACATACACCTTGTCTCGGACGAAATCTACTCTGGGTCGACATTCTCATCATCCGAGTTCATCAGCATTGCTGAAATCCTCGAAACTCGTTCCCATAGAGATTCCGAGAGAGTCCACATCGTTTACAGTCTTTCAAAAGATCTCGGCCTTCCCGGTTTTCGAGTTGGAACAATATATTCCTACAACGACAAGGTTGTCTGCACCGCCAGGAGGATGTCGAGCTTCACTTTGATTTCGTCTCAAACACAGCATCTCTTGGCTTGCATGTTGTCCGACAAGGAGTTCAGCCAGAACTACATAAAGACGAACCGAGAGAGGCTAATTAAGAGATACGAAATGATCATCAAAGGGTTGGAAAATGCAGGGATCGAGTACTTAAAAGGCAATGCCGGGTTGTTTTGCTGGGTGAATCTAAGTCCATTGTTGGAAGAACCAACCAGAGAAAGCGAGTTGGAGCTTTGGAAGATCATCTTGAATGAAGTGAGACTAAACATATCGCCTGGATCTTCATGCCATTGCTCTGAACCCGGGTGGTTCAGGGTCTGTTTTGCAAACATGAGCGAGCAGACACTTGAAATTGCACTCGACAGAATACATAAATTCATGGAACAAAGAAGAAGAAACTAAACTCGGTGAATATATATGTTCATAGTATCCGTATTAATCAACCAGTTTTGGTGGGGGTTTTCAAACTTTTAATACCCATTAAGATTCTTTGGACGACATAATTTCCCTTGGCTTTGTGCCATTAAAATGTAAAGCATATTAAGATCGATTTTGATACATATTCTAGTTTAGGTGGAATTGATTTTATATCATACTTGTTTTCTTGCTTATGGTGAAGCAAGTTCCCTTGAAATGCTTCCATTTTCTTCAATGTGGAAGTACTTTGTGATATTTGTATTATCTTTTTTACCTAAACTTTGTTATGAACTAGTTAAATATGCAATCAATAAGAAAGTTATTTAAATTAATTACAATTATAAATATTAAGAAACAAATTATGAATATTAAAATCAGATCCAATCCACCAACTGGGTTAATTCAAGTAGTAAGCAGCTTGATATCACTTAAGCAATGTCTCAGGTTCGAGTCATTGTGTATACAGAAAATCTCCGCTGCGAGACTCGCCCACCGAAATTAGGTGTGCGACTCGGGTCAATCTAAATTAGTCAGGACGAAACCTTGAAATCGAAAGAAAATAAAATCAGATCCAATCCAGAAGAAATGAAATAAAGAGATGGAAAGGTCAAATACTTTCCTTATAGTTTTTTTTTATACAATGTTTTCAAACCCGATTAATGTATAATACTCGATTGATTAATTTAGTTAATAATTAATCCATCAAATTAATTAAAGTGTTAGTATATACTTCACCTCATTACTTGATTTGTTTTCGTACACATGTTTGATTTAAAATTTTAATTTACGAGATGATATTTTATATATTAATGTGTCATCGGTGTTAATAATCATACCGTTAATTAGTATGTTGATTAGAAATTTAGAATAAACGACCGTGATTTTTGGGAGTGCTATATCTGATTATTATAGTGATTAGACGCTAATTAATTTGTTTGTTATCTTTATGTGTTGATCAAAACATCTAATCCCACAAATAACGTTTTGTGTGCCATATGAAATTATTCTTGTCCGTTTTGCATAAGGATCGATTTAGTGAGTTTTCAACAATAGTCGTGGCCATTAATTTTATCAATCTTAATCTTGAATTTTAAAATAAATATTAAATTGAAGAGTAATTAAATTATTTTAATTTGGGATTTTTATATGTTATTCTAAAAATAAAATCAAATTGAGTAGTGGCGGTAGATTCGTAATAATTTTTAGAGCGGAAACATGTATATATTAACAACATAATTTTTTTATTCAGGTGGAAACAAATAAAACTTTAAAATAAACAACACTAACAAATAGATAACTAAAAAAATTAAATTTCAAAATTGATACGTATTAACCTAATATATTAATGTTGATGTGATACTTAATTATATTAATGTGATAGTCTATTATATTAATCTAACATATTATGGTAGTGACATGATAATACTGATAATGTGATGGAAAAATTTAATTACTTTGTAGTAAATATAAGGATATAATTAACTTTTTATAGAAAATTTGACAGTTCATTTAATTTTAAATAAAAACTATTAAATTAATAAGTTATTAAAAATATTAAAAAATATTTAAGTTTTTAATATATACAAAAATAAAATCTTACCAAAATTAAAAATAATCAAAAGTAAAATATAAAATTATTATAAATTATAATATAACATATTATTTAATGCATATACACTTGTAATTTTAGCGCCCAATTAATTTGGTAAAATTAAAGCTATGATGGGTTTTGTAATAATAGAAATAAAGATGTAGATGCAGCTTCATTGGTTAAATAGTTCATGTAGAAAAAGATGAAAAATAAGGATGTTTGAGAATTACTTTAAGATTTAGATCATTTGTTGCCGTGTACGTAAAATTTGTTATGAAGATTGAAGGATTGACGAATTTTATAAAATATATTATAAAATTTGTCACGATAAGATGACGAGTTTCATATAATTTAATTTAATTTCATATAATAAGTCTAATTTTTAATGCATTTTATAAAATTCATCACTCTTATATCTAGTTTCACGTATATTATAACAAATGATCTCCTATTTTTCAATTCCACCCCCCAATTTTTTTGTTTTAGATTTAGACCATGTAGATGCATAGGATAAAAGAAATAATTTCATAGGGTAACTTCTTTGAAATTATAAAACGACCCTTTTAATTTACATAAATTAAAATCTAACCCGTATGAACCCCGAAAGGGTAATACTCTGACCCGCAAAACGCTTTATCAGTCTCTCGAGATAAGCGGCGGGAGAAGCCTAATCTGTCTCCTCACGTCTTTGCCGTCAACCAATATCTTTTAGTTTGCTTTAATCGAAGGTGAAATTCCCTTCTTTTGAGTAGATCTACAGTGGACTTGATTTCTAAATCTTTCGCAATTTTCTTTATGTACTCAGATCTATTGATTTTAGAGTTCGATCACTATACATCGTTATTTTGTTGATTGGATTTATGTTAATTTCTAGGGTTTTGAATGATTTTATGTTCTTTCTGCTTTCGAATTTTATACATGGCATTTTCGGGGAAAACAATTTTTTTTCTAAGGACTTATTTTATGTTTTATATACGGTGCAGATTCTGATGGCATCAAAACTGCTGCAGTTGCAATCTAAGGCCTCTGAAGCGTCCAAGCTTGTAGCCAAGCACGGAACTTCTTACTACAAGCAGTTGTTGGAGCAGAACAAACAATACATTCAGGAGCCACCAACAGTTGAGAAGTGCTACGAGTTGTCTAAGCAGCTCTTTTACACTCGCCTTACTAGGTATTTTTACTTGCCTTTGAGTTTCTATAATGATTACAATGTTTCATTTAGTACATGAATTTTCTTTTTCCTTCGTTGCCACAATGTATCATTGTGTTTTGCTTACCTTCCGAGTCAGTCAATTTGCCTGCACAAAATTTGGTTTTGAAATGTATGGTATCGCACCTACTTTTAATCATATAAAAGCAAGACATTGACTGTTGTCTATTGTGTGTTCAGATGTTATATTGTCTGCACAAAATTTCTTAGGCGCGAACCAAGTGAATTTTTGTTTCTGATAGAAGTGGTAACATATGAAATTGGGAATTTCAGTTTTGAAAGCGAGACCATGCAGAGGCAACATCTTTGGTCATGTAATTTTAAGTTGTCCGCATGAAATGAAACTATTGATGTTATTATTAGAGAATTGGATTTACTAGTAGTGGTAAAAATCATTTTTACTTCATGAACGGGGAAACCGTTTTCTAGAGAATTCCTTGGGGAAAAAATTTTAATTTTGTCACCTTCCATATCAATACGTGGCTCATGTTTGGGAGTTCCCTAGTTTCATCTGCTGGACAGAGACCAAATGGAAGCTGTCACACAACTTATTAGGAAACTATTGAGTTCGTGAGAACAAAATAACAAGACTGCATTTTCTTTGACACTCTTGTGATTTCTGTGACCGCATATGGCGTGCTGTGAGCTTCAGAACAGAAAAATAAAAGATCAAAACAATGAGGTTGGGTTGTTTATGATTTCGCGTGTTACGAAGAATCAATGATTATACTCCTTATATTGCAATTTACTTGTTTCGTGTTGTACCAGTAGAAACAAATAATAGTTTACTCAGTGGAGGCAGTAATACTTGTTAAAATCAAAATCACAAGGACATATCAAAATAACTCTTTTTTATGCAATTTGTGCAGTATCCCTGGTCGTACTGAGTCATTCTGGAAGGAGCTTGATTATGTGAAGAATCTATGGAAGAACAGGAAAGAACTGAAGATTGAAGATGCTGGTATTGCAGCTTTGTTTGGACTGGAGTGCTTCGGATGGTTCTGTGCAGGTGAGATTGTGGGAAGGGGTTTTACCTTCACCGGCTACTATGTCTAAGTGAATGGATGGTATTTCAGGGACTTTGACGTGAATGGCTTTATCACTGTTCACATAGTTGGATTGTGGCCAACCCCTTGATGAGTATTCTTTTGTTGTTTTCATGAAATTTTTGAGCTGAGAAATCAGTGGTTAAAGAGATAGCCTAATAATTTTTATAGTTGAAATGGCTTTGGTGGATAAGCCTTGCTGTTCTCTTGTATCTCATCAGAATTAACTGTATCCAAGATTGATGGTAATTGTGCAAATTATTCAAACTTTTCTCTCGCTCATCTTCCTTTCTGTTTCTGCCCCGATTATTAATAATCCATAATTTGATTATAAACGTATCTAAAAATTTAGAGTTAAATGATAAAACAATTAGTAAATTTAAAGTTTATTCGTATTTGGGAGGTTATATACGAGGTATGATCCAATTACATTGTATAAAAATCTTTTAATTTTATATCATTTTAAAATCATTAGATGAAATAAATAAAAGATTAAAATTAACAGTAAAATATAAAAATATTCACCGAAAAAATGTCTTTTAACAGTCATTAGTTCAGTGTCCCCTCCTCTTAATCAATTGTCTCGAATTTGGCTCCACACGTTTTCTTGCCCTATTCCCGGAAATTGAATGCTGTGACTTCTAGTTTGATTACTGATCTGACCATCACAAGAAATTAAGGTTAAAAAAGCGACATTTCAATTTCCGCGAAAACTCCAATCAGACTCCTTTAACCTTCTTCATCGTTAAGAATCCCAAAACCCGTTAACTACTCATCCGACCTAATCAAAATCTCATTTTTGGTAACCCCCCTTCTAATTCCTTTTAATTCCATTCTTTAACGAATTATCGGATACCCCATCGAAGAAATATGCTTCACCGGAGCTTCAAGCCGGCCAAATGGTAAGATACTTCTCTTAATTTTATTTCTATAACTGTTTATTAATCGATTTGCATTCTTTTTTGTGAATCGAAGAGGTGGTATGATCTTTTGGCCTTTTTTTATTTTTGAATTTTGATTTGATGTAGCAAGACAGCTTTAAAGCTAGCGATACCACGAATAAAGCTAATGAAGAACAAGAGAGAAGCACATGTTCAGCACTTAAAGAGGGAATTGGCTCAATTACTGGAGTCAGGACAAGATCAAACGGCCAGAATTCGGGTATTAAAGTTCCATCGAATTTTCTCAATCATGCTAATGTTTTGAGTCTGGTGATATTAATTAATTTTTTTTAATTTTTCAGGTGGAGCATGTAGTTAGGGAAGAAAATACTGTGGCAGCGTTTAATCTTCTCGAGATATACTGTGAACTTATCCTGGCTCGCATGCCCATCATCGAATCACAAAAGTTTGTAAAATTACTTTCTTTACTATTCATATATTGTTTTTAATTGCCTTTTATGGAATTAGGGCAATTTTACTGAGCTAGCGTTTGAATAAATAGAGATAAAGAGACCTTCATTGTTAAAGCAACTAGAATTGGTTAAGTTCACTTGATACCTAGGGAATTCTTGGGTGTATTTTGTTATTTCAACTTCCGTTTTTCTTGAATTATTTGTGCCCAAGACTTGTGTGCAATGCATATATGGACTTAGGTACTGAGATATGACACTGCAAAGGCCCTCCTAATATATGGAAAGAACTTGCAAAAAAAATTGAACATGCATATATCTGCCACTCACACCCATCCGAAGTAATATAGCTACGGAAAGTGATACTCAATTCACGTACCGAAAAACTACTTTGATTTGAACTTTTACTAGATTGGCAACTTCTGCTAGAAGTTGGGGTGCCTGGTTATTGCATTGGCTTTAAATGGATGGATTATGTGCCTAAATGCATAGACAGGTAAGCATGTATTGATGGATAAATAGTAAACGTATCATTGTTAGCTTATAGAGAGGAGGATTTTATAATTGCTTTTGGTCTTTCTGCAAAACTAAATTTTGTCAATTGCTGCTTCTGTTAATGACTGAGTTGTGTTTTTACTGACCTTAATTATTCAGAAACTGCCCCACTGATTTGAAGGAAGCAATATCAAGTGTCATATTTGCATCTGCAAGGTGTGAAGAAATACCAGAACTCAAGGATGTTTCCAAACATTTTACGGCAAAATATGGAAAAGAATTTACTTCTTCTGCTCTTGAACTGCGTCCTAATTGTGGTGTTGGTCGCATGGTTAGTATGGAACATCTAATATTGAATAAAATGTTGTTGAAATCTACTCAAACTTTCATAGTTTTATCTACCATAATGAAAATTATGTAGCCCTAACAAAATCTTTTTGTTTCCGTTAGTTGGTTGAAAAACTGTCTGCTAATGCACCTGATGGTCCAACTAAACTCAAAATTTTGACTGCAATTGCTGAGGAACATAAGATCAAATGGAATCCTGAATCATTTGGAGCGAAAGAATCAAAGATTTATGATGACATGCTGGTAAAACTAGTAGAACATTTGATTATGAAGTGGTTAATTGATTTTCTCGATTTCTAATTCTCTCTCCGTATGAATTTTCTCCTGCAGAATGGACCAAATACTTCTATGGAGGCCACCAAAATTTTGGCAGATCCTCCAATTATCCAAGCTTCACCCAGTCATGAGCAGAGTTCTCCCAGTGTTCAACTTCCTAATAATGATAAGGAGCAACCTCATGTTCAAGATTCAAAACACATTGGAAAAAGTGACGCACCAACAAGTTTATATGAGCACAAATCAAGATCATCTCTTCATCCTAATAATTTTGATTATTCAAATACTAGTACCAATACTTCGATGTCCTCTGGAACTTATCCACCAAATTCAAAACATGGTACGTTAATTATTAGATTTAAACTTGCTGCCGATTTTCTCAGTATTTTTTAATCATTTGTTCTATGTTAATTGTTGGTAAATATTTGGGTACTTGGTTTTTCAGGAATTGAGAATCAAGTGATGGAATTTAAGAATTCATATTCTGGTAATGAGAGACCTTCCTCATTATCAAGGCAACATTGGCAAATGGAATTTAAAGATGCTACGGCTGCTGCTCAGGCAGCTGCGGAATCTGCAGAGCGAGCAAGCATGGCTGCCCGAGCTGCTGCCGAACTTTCAAGCCGTGGAAATATCTCCCAACAGCATCCAATGGAATCACACATGTCATCTCCTCATAGTAAGAAAGATGAGGAGCAACAAAAGTATACCCACTCATCGTCTGAAAACGAGCATGGTGCCAGACATCCGGTTAATAATTCCCATCATGGAAGGAATTCAGGGGATTATAAACATAGTAACGTTGCTAGGAGCAGTGATAACTCCACTCACAGTTCCTTTAAGTCAACTGCAGCTTCCTTCAATGGAAAAGCATCAGTGAATAATGGAACTGCAGATGCTTATTCTCAAAAAAACAAGTCTGAAGGCAGGCAAATGGAGCATTTTGCTGAACCAAGTATCCATAGAAACTCGGGCAAAAATGGGATGCAATTTGTGAATGAACTCCATGATATTAAGAATCCTCTGAATCTTGATCAACATGAAGTAAGGGTCGGAGACCAATCAAGCTATTCCTCTTCTCAGTCTCAGTCAAACACTTTCACTGTTGATCATTTCCTTGTCTCTAATTTAGATTGGCAGAAGTCGGATAGTAATCAGAGAAATTTGGATGAAAGCAGGATGCAATTTGAGAATGAACTGCATGATACAAAGACCCATGATGATCATGTTGTTGTATCAAATTTAAACCGTCAGAAGCCTAGAAATGATTCTGATGAGGATTTATTTCTTCCCAATGATAAAGGAAGCCTTCCAAGAAGCACGAAAGAAACAACAGATTCTTTCAACAATGCCTCAGCAGTTTTTGATGACTACGGATCAGATGATTATGAAGATAATTTTGGTTTGGAGGAAGAGCATGAAGTACGTGAATATAATATGAACTTTTCTTCTCCAGGTCAAAGATCTCCCTCTTATCCATTTACAACTGGAAATTCTTGGAGCGTTCAGCAGAACAACAGTTCGCCTGAAAAGTCAATTTCAAAATCACATATTTTCTCAGAGGAGCGGACTACTCCTGCCCTCTTTGAAAGTACAAGCAGCTTTTCAGCTCCTTCCAATGTGGATGACTTGGCTGCAACTTTTGATGATTATGGCCTTAATTCAGAAAGTGAAGAGGAGGTAGACAAATCTAAGTTTGTCAGGAGTAGCGATTTTAGTATAGGTAGTGGTAAACAGAATACGGATTCCAACAAGCCTGAAAACAGTAGTAGTTTGACTCCACAGTTGGCTGAAGGCATTGAAGATACTGAACATTCCAATGAGTTTAGTCTGGAAGAAAGTAAGGAATTGAAATTAGGAAACTTGACAGGTGGCCTACGAAATAAGGGTTATAGGTGCCCACCATTTTCAAAAATCCCTCGAGACAATTTGTTTTCTTATGGAGAAGCAGTCAGTGATACATCAACTGGAATGAAGCAATCTTCTTCTCCCGCAGCAGTGGAAGCTTTGGTTAATTCTGGATCTTACGATCAAGAGCCATACAGTAGGAAAGGGAATGATGAAGTGAGTAGAAAGCTGGGCCCGAAAGCATTGGTTAATCAGGTTGACTCTAGTGATGATGGTTCTGGGGAACAACCAAAAGATACTTTTAGTAGCATTGAAGGCCATTACAACAGAACAACTATTTTTGAAGAAAGTGAAAAATCGATCTCAAGGAGCACTGTCCCATATTTTGATTCTGATGAAGATCTTCCTAAAGCAAGTTTGAAGGCTCACTCAAACACAAGTTTATCTCGAAGAACAAAGGCCTCTCTTCCATATTCGCAGAGAAGTTCCAATTATAGAACTACAGTTTCCTCTGAGCCAGCATTAGTGTTTGGCCATGGTGAGAAGAAGAATTTAACCTCGAGGAATACTGGTGCAGATGAAGCACTTCCGAAGAGACAACCTCACAAAAAGAACTCAGATAACCGGGAAAGTTCTCTGCATTCTTGGTTGGCATCTCAACCAACTTCAAGGCCGGTTTCAGAGAACAAAGGCTTTTCAGTTGGTGGAACTTTGAAGTCATCAGAGAAAGAACAACAGTCTGCCCTTGTCTGTAAGAGTACAACATCGGGTAGTGCCAAAAGTTTGAATGCTAAAAGTTCAATTGGGGAGGGATCATCTAAGGAGAGTGCTACTCATGTTCATCCAAAGCTTCCCGATTTCGATGCCTTGACCTCACACTTGAATTCTCTCAGACAGAACAGCTAGTGTACAGATACTTCGTGCATTCTGATATGCCGCGTTCATGTTATTGGTGACTATCTTCTATTTGCATGTTATACAGAATCTTTTTTTAAACTCTATAGGGATGTTTCACCTAGAGTTGAAAATATTATTTGATTTACCTGCGATAAAACAGTTCCTTTGGGACTAGAGAAAAGAGCGCAGTAAGTTTCTCAGGCTGAGAGTATGACAGAGTGAATCGCCTTTGTTAGCATATTACCAGAGGAGCAAACAATGTAAAATTCCAAAGCAATTAAATTTGAAGTTTGCTTTTGTAGTTCAATTTCTACGAAAATCAAAACTAATCAAGGCATGAAGCCAAAAATATTATTACTGTAATCATACGGTTTTAAATCATACCAAGTTCTGATAGATATCGATCGGAAGTTTCACACATAAAGCAGCGCTCAAAGAACCACCCTTCTCCATTTCACATCAGACAGTGATCAGAAAGATAAACGAACCTAATGAAAATAACCCAGAACCTGCCCACCAACATTCCTTCTAATGGCTTCTTCATGATCCAAAACACCATCTGGAGTTGAAATCACGACATAACCCCACTGCATGTCGTAAGAACCATAAGCAAGGTCAGTATCAAGGTCATCGTTCCATGCTTGAAGATTCTACTGACATAGCTAGAATGCTTGCATTCTACAATCCCAATCACTTTCTACATTAAAATGGCAATGAATAATCGAAACACCAAACACAAGGATTTTCAACAAACCTGGCGTGTTGGAAGTTTAACTGATTTGTATTTTTCGATGTCCTTTGTTTTGATGTCCTGCCTGTAAGTGAGTGCCCGACAATCGTTTACCCTGCTTTGCACTTCAACAGTTATTCTCCCCACTCTGTGTGGATCATGAACCTCGAAATTCTTTATGTATCCTTTCAAAATGAAAATTACAAAGAAGTCAAAGACCCAACAATAAGCAATAGATTCAAAAGTTGCGGTTGCCACAACACAAGACAACTAGATTTGTAGGCACTTAGTTAATGAGATTATGATTGCGCTAATGCATCACAAAAAGAGTATGATGCCTAATGGTTTTCAAAGCTTAAAAAACCCAAAAACTAAGATTGATAAGAAGAAAAAAGAACAATCTTTTCATAGTTCTTTCTACACCATAATGATAAAATAACCAGGCAACTGAAAATAGAAACATGGATTCTGGTAACCAATTTAAAGTCTAAACACACATGTTTCAAGTAAAAGTGAAAATAAACCATAACAGTGGAGGAGGATGCACCACTTTCGTATTACATCATCAGCTGCAGAATAAATCCCCATTGTCCTTCAAATTTGTAACAAAAAGGGATTCATATTCATATATTATGGTTACTTGCACAGTCTAAAAATGAACCAGTGGCTTCCAACATTCAAATTAGCAAAAACAGTACATCACCAAATAAGCTTATAGCTCACTGTTAGCTGGGTCACTTCAACCTAACCAATTCTTGAGATTAATAAACAAAATATAAAATAAATCACAAACCCATAATTATTACCCTAAATAATCAAAAGCCATAATAAAAAACAATATAATAGGGAGTTAAGAACAGGAAAAAGAAATCCTGAAAGCCTCACAGATTACAGGCCTATTGCATGTTGTACAGTTTTCTACAAGGTATTACCAAGATTTTAACTGCTAGATTAGGGCATCTTCTCTCCATAATTATTAACCCTACTCGATCTGCATTTGTGTCTGGTAGAAAAATTGTTGACAACATATTGCTTGCTCATGAGCTTGTAATTATGATGGAGTTGCTAGATGTGCTATGAAGATAGACCTCATGAAAGCTTATGATTCCTTGTACTGGTACGTTATAGAAGTTCTCCTTGTTTTAAACTTTCCTCACCAGCTTATTGATGGGGTTATGAATTATATGAGAGCACCTTGGTTTTTGGTTATGGTGAATGGAAGTTTAGAAGGATACTCTCTAGTAACCGTTACTGAAATCCCAGCTGAAGGATTGAAGGGTTTAGGCACCAAGGTCATCGATGATGATGATGATGATGAGTAATTTATCAAAATCTGTTGTTTTCTAAAAAAAACTTCCATTTTCCTCACCACCAAGTTTACATCAGAGTTTTGTGACATTGGATTTCGTTGAATATTTTGGCTTTTGTTATTTTTCAACTGTCATGAAGTTTAGCTAAGCTACAACTCAAATATAAATTGTTTGTTGAAGTTGATTTAGTTCAGTTGACACTGTGTTGGTATCAAGTATGTTTAAATACATCCTTTGATTTATGGGTGGGGAGAAATTTGGATGATATATATTGTACCAAATTCTTCAAAAACATCTCAATCACAGAAACTAGTACATCGAGTGCAATCAAAGATACTACTACTTTCAGGTTAAAATAACAAACTTACATATCTAGTGGGAAAAAGTTTTCAGACCGTCATAAACTTTAAACTATTAAACTCTCCAAAATTATGCAAAAACGAGAGGAAAGAAAAGAACAAGAATCCCCAACTCTGGTTTTCATTCCAGTCTGTCCCAGAGAGAATAACAGGTGAACATGCAGTTCTCTTTGTAATATAGACAGCAAATAAGTGGGGATAAGTTCTCAGCTTCCAAACTGCAGCAGCAGACGTACTTTCTTTGACCACCTTGACTCGATCCTGCTAAACAATCTAGTAGTGGGGTCTGATGCTAGCCGGCTTTGAAAGCATACATATAGCTTCTGAGTTTTCTTACTTCTTCTGATGACTCGGAGAGGACACGGTCAACATAGAGTGATAACCCAGCTCCACTGCAAGTTCATTGTACAGGTAAGAATTTGATAAGCATGATGGGGGGGAAGAAAGATTGGAAAAATAGGCATACCATAAGGGCCCAAGAGGAAGCCAGATAACATCCCAACGAAATTTTGGCATTCTAAAATGCAAATTAGCATTCCAACAGTTAGCACATGAATAAACATAAGATATTAGAACATCCACGTTGATGGATCAAAGAATAAACTTAAGCGGAACCAATAAGATCTCCAAAACAAATCCCAACTGCGAAAGAAAACAAATGGGAAAGAGAGATTCGGACCAACTTTCAAGCATAACAAATGCAACCCAGAGACTAAAATCCAAATGTTTGAATGCAACACAATTTATCTGATTAAAAACAACAGCATTCCAAACGTTTGAATGCACTGACCGCACATTACTTCATTTCAATCCTCCTTAAATCACATCAATTCCCCTCCTCATAACGTGAAACTGCTTTTGCTACATGTATTTCAATGTGTCATAGAAACCAACACAATTGTATCTGATTAAAAATGACTGGAAGTCTGGAATTCATTATTTGAATGTGCTGACCACGCATTACTTCATTTCAATGCTCCATAGATCACATCAATCCCCCACCCTCATAACCTGAAACTGCTTTGACTACATCTATTTCAATGTGTCATAGGAACCAACACAGTTGTATCTGAGTAAAACCGACTGGAATCCAACATTTGACTAGCGCTGGCCATTGTTACTTCATTTCATCTCAACCCTCATCCCCCCCCCCCACCCACAAAAGAAAAAACCCTAAATTAAGCACCATAGATTGTTCATACAAAGTTCCATGGCACAATCAACAAATCAACACAAAAAACAAGAATCAAATACGGGGATCAAAATTCTGAGACTGATGTACCTCAGCATATAATATACCCAGAAAATTGCAAGCACAGTGGCAAGAGACCATGAGTACCATATCCACTTTCTGTGATCCTTTGAATTACTGAATAGACCTATAATGGCCATTGAGCAAGCCAATACAGCTATCCATTCTGTTAAAATACAAACTTAATAAATTTACTATATATAACAGGTAGAAAACCATATCAAAATATGGGCAATGACTAGCAATTTAATAACAAAAGGAAAATATTGTCAAACAATATGGCTATATCCACCATAAGGGTAACCAAAGTCAGGGCTTTTAAATCAACTATCTGCAATTTCTGTGAAAAAATTTAACAAAATGTAACAAGCAAAGAAGAAAATAAATGAATACATATCAATGAAGACAAGCACGCAATCAAACCTGAAGTTATTATCATCCATGAATCAACATCTTCCATGAAGTAAGCATGGTACCGCTGATAATACAAGTGCAACGATTTATATTTGTTGATCGTGATAAGAAAAAAGAAAATAAATGGTATAAAATTTTAAAGCAAAGTGCATCATGGACCTCGACACGATCCAATTACATTAGCAGTTCCATAATCATACACATGAAACGTTTTATTAGAGTAACATGATCCGAAATGGAAACAAGCTTTTAGGTCATATGAAGGAATTGGGTATTGAGTAATTCATACCAGTTCCCATGGAAATAAGGTCTGATGATAGATGGAGTATAGAAGAAACGCCGAGTAACAAAAGAGAAGTGCTGCAAACACGCTCTGCAGATTTAAGAAAACCAATTATTACAGATTATATACAGAGAAATAAGGCGAAAGATACAAGGTTTTTTAAAAAAAATTATGGAACAGTAAAGAGGAAGACCCTCCATTGAAGACTTTGTTGAGCATGCATCTTTTCAAGAGAACGAACCAACTCCTCTTGTTCTGTAAATTAAAAAAAAAAAGACCCAACAAAAAAAGAAGTTTTTATTTCTTATAATCATTAATCAAATAGACAGATTTGATTTCTGGAAAAAAGGTGAAATAGAGACAAAGAGACCGTTGATATCCATGGGACGATCGTCGTCGACGGCTGGGAGAGAGAACTTCTCGTCTTCAGGACTTCGAAATTGCCTCGCCAGTTTCCTCATTTTCAAACCAAATTGGTACGCCGTCTACGGTCGTGAGGCCAAAGATGCTGAGCTGAATCTCGAAGCTCCAAATTATACGATGTCGTTTCAGTGATAAATCTTGACGAGCCCAATTATGAGAAGTAAAGTAATTTCTTCTATATTAGTTTTTTTACAGTGGTTGGATTTGACAAAAAGAGGGGACCCAACTCATCTGAGAAGTAAGGGTGCTTATGTAGGTGAAAAAGTAAAGCTTTTGATGAAATTTAAGTCTTAGTTATCTTTTGATAATGATTTTATGATAGCTGTTTTGAGTACTGGTTTCAAGGATTGGAATGAACTTTTAGTTTTAGCTACTATCAGATAATGTTAAAACTTATATGATCTCACACATCTATATGTTTCCATGATCATGGAAGGTTTAAACATTTCGTAGTTATGGTGTTGCTAGTTTTATTCCTCTGGAAGGGTTCAATTATATTTATGGGTTGTCTTTGAATTTGATTATTTTGTGGCTCTGCAATGATATCATGCTATTCAATCCTCATTTTAATCAATGATGCTAGAACAATCTTCATCTATCAAAAACTAATTGACAAACTTTAGTCTTATCATTGATTCAACAACAAATTCCTGTTGGAAATAAGGACAAATGAATTCAAAAGAGACATCAGTAGTAGCATGCTTGTAATGGAGTCAACATCAACCTGCGTGCTTATATCTGCTACCAAGAACATTCAAAATGTTCATACAATCATGCAAACTACTTTACAAAATCTACCAGAAAATTGAAAAGCAAAGAAAAACATTCCTCGTTGAGAAAGATGCCATAAAAGTTGGCATTTTTCTAGCTAAATTTATCCATAAAAAGTTCAAACAAGAGTCTGATGACAGCATTCTCAAATGATAACGCTCAATCCCATATAAACTCACAGTTCGGGCGAGACATACAACTACAAACGTACTTGACATCACAGAAGTTTATCTGCTCAGAGTTCATCATGAGAACTTCTATGCTTGGGTGTATTTTCCAAGAGGTAAGTTGTCGCTAATGATGCATGTAGAGCTGCGGCATATGAAAATACGTCTTCATTAACTCTATAGTAGGGTGAATGCCCCGAATGAAATGGTCCATGAGTTTCATTCTTCATTCCAAGAAAGAAGAGAAGTCCTGGAATTGCCTTTGAATAGAATGCAAAGTCCTCTGCTCCCATCAAAACTCTTGCTTCTGCAACATTCTGAACACCCAACATTCCCCTGCAACCTGTCTGAAATGTTCATGCAACTCTTTGTCGTTGAACACCACAGGGTAATTAGACTTCTCATCGAATGTCACTTTCGCAGTGCATCTCTGTACACTTGCAGTGCATCTCTGTACACTTGCTTTCTTCGTAATAACCTGCAACTTTGCATTGTAAGGTAATATCCAACACGGAATAAATGGAGAACGCCTCCAAACAACCAGTGCAGAAGGGGAAAGATAAATGGAAAACGAGTGGAATCATCTTAAACTTCCAACAAGCAGTTCTTGTAGTCAAGAAACAAAGTTAGGCAGATTGGATGCAGGAAACAAGAAGAGAAAGATAAATGGAAAACGAGTGGAATCATCTTAAACTTCCAACAAGCAGTTCTTGTAGTCAAGAAACAAAGTTAGGCAGATTGGATGCAGGAAACAAGAAGAGTACCTTCTCAATCCTATGTTTGAGATTATCAAAGCTTTCTTTCGAAAATGCCCTAAAAGTGCCACCTATTGTAACAGAATCTGGAATGACGTTAAATGCTCCACCGCCTTGGAATTTTGCATCACTAATCACCTGCAACAAGATCATATTTTTGTAAGCAAGTTAAATAGAAATGTATTTTCATTTCAAGAAGAAAGTATCTCGAATTTACACAAGCATCTTCAGTAGAATAAATGTAATAACGTAAGAAATAGGGGGAAAAAGGGGGAATTTAAACAATAACAGAAATGAAATTTGCAGTGATCATGAACAGAAGTGAAATCCTTTAATATCAGTCCTAGAAACTGACATAATATCTACAGCATAACATATAAGTGAATGTATTTGCTATGTGGTAGAAAAGGAAGCAAATGAAGTTCACAGTAAATTTTCGTAGAGATTATATATATTGACCATGTTCAAATAAATATGTTTGTATATAATACAAATTGTAGGTGATGTTACCTTGAGAAAAGGAGGATGGGAGAGAGAACACTTTTCAGTGGAGTTTGGTGAAAGATTCAACATAACTTTCCACGGTGATATTTTCAACACTTTTCCAATTAGCAGGGAGAAAACGGAACACATAGAAAGGGAACTAAAGCTAACGCTGATTGTTGGAACACATAACCAAAGGAACAGAGCTTACCTGAGAATCCAAGGGATCAGCTTCACGTGAAAGTAGATGTTGCAAACTAACAATCACATTGGAAGCTGCTAAAATTGGGTCTACTGTATGCTGAGGAAGAGCAGCATGTCCCTCTTTTCCATTTATTACAGCCTCGAATAAAATGGTTGCAGCTAAAAGCGGGCAGGGCCGGGACGCCACAACACCAATTGGGTATTTAGGAGATACATGGAGTGCAAATATGTCATCAACGTTATCTAAAGCTCCAGCATCCAACATTTTTCTGGCACCCCCACCCGCTTCTTCAGCCGGTTGAAAAATAAGAACCACCGTTCCCTATTAAACAACGCTTTTAAATTGAGCTCAAAGAGCAGATGTATCTAATCATATGCAGCTGGAGCTTGATTAAGAATGCATCATTTACGATACCAACCTCTATAAAACAAATAATTTTAATGCACGAATTACTCATTTTTTTTTGCAAAGAAAAGGTTTCAGATGATGCTTACACCAACATTATAGTGTAAAACAACCTAGAGAAACATAGAAGCCATGGAAACAATCTTAATTGAATCAATTTATGTTACAAGGGGGTGAAAAAGAACCCTTAATATTTATTAAAGAAGTTAATAATTTAGAGAGGCTATACCAATTAACATTGAGAAAAATAGCAAGGAACCTGCAAATCTTTTCGATGTTCTTGAAGCATCTTTGCAGCACCAAGAAGCATAGCAACATGAGAATCATGTCCACAAGAATGCATCTTTCCAGGAACCTTACGTTTATGTCCCACCCTACCAGTTCCTGTAACATCAAAACCCAACAACTCCCTTTCATATCACTCGCGCATAAAATCAGCTCTAAATAGTTAATTGCTAATCTAATTTAATATTTAATCCAATATCACAAAACTCTGATGTAAACTTGATGTTATATATATATATATATATATAAAGATGAAGAAAAAATTATTATAAGTTTAAAAATATTTTTCAATTAGACTAAAGTTCAAGTATTCTAATGCTGACAATTCATTGTTTGTGTACAATGCTCTACTAAGTACAAATGTTTTTTGGCTATTGCGGTGTGGATATTTTGGTGATATGAAATTCAAGGACTTATATCAATGAAGTGATTCATAAACATGTTTGGTTTACGAAAAAAATTATTATTAAGAGAAATAATCTTTTTCGAAATCGTACTCTCATATTTAATTCACGAAAAAAATATTATTAGGTAATACTTTATTACCAATAATAATATCTTTTGGTTAAAATGGTTAACAACCAATCATCAACTGTTGTATCTAGTTGGGTTTTGTAAGTAGGTCGTTCATTAGTTGAGGTTGTTAGGTCCGTTACAATTAAATTCAGTTACAAGTCCAATGGTCATCTAAGGTTATATAATGCACTGGGCCTGAGATTCGACACTTATTTTTTATCCATTAATGAATTACACATTATTTCTTAATCTAAACCCTAATCAGTAATCACTTTTTCACCGCTTTATTTATTTATTTATTTCTGTAGCTTGGCCATTTTGACTTACTCTATGCCTTGATCATCGTCGGTCATATTCCCGTCAGAAATTCAAACTTGGAATAAATTAACTTTCACCCGACATGTCCCATCATCCTTTGAATTTATGCTCCGCAACGCCGACAACTATGGAGAGTTGGTTTGAGAGCAATTAAACTATACCTAAACTATGATGTAATAAAAATAAAATGACTTAAAACTTATCCACAAGACAGCCGTCGGTTTGGGACTATGTCATTACATAGAAAAATCGAGAAAGCTAACCTAAGATGTCTCCGAATGAAGCTTTGGTTATATGATTTGGAGAGAGGAAAACCACATGATTATGATGATCTAACGTGTAGTTTGATGGAGGGGCTCCACCACAACAAAAACATAAGGGTACAAATCATCTTTTTGAAAGGTGTTGCATTGAATGATGTCTGCCTGCGTGTTGGAAGGGTTTAATCATTAAAACACTCTTTTCTCATACGTTCCTCTCTACACTCAAACGCCCCACCTCCGCCGTGTCCCCACCCACTTACACTTATTCCAAAACAAACTTTAAGCTCGTCTTTGAGAGAGATTTGGTCCAAGAAATCTTTTGTTTATGTAGAGGTGTTAATTTTTCATTTTTAACTAAATTAATCGATCAATTAATTTAATTAGCTACTAAATTAGTTTGATCGAGAAATGATTAATAATTTTTTAGAATTCAGTTAACGATTAATTCGATTCGAAATCGATTAATTAACTAAAATTAAATTTTAAATATTAAATATATTATATATAACATATAGACTCAACCCAAACCATTTAAAACCCAATTAATAATTTAAGATTCAATAATTTTTAAATCTAAATCAATATTAATTAATTAATTAATTAATTAAAAAATCTATATAATTTTTTTATTTTAAAATTATATATTATTTAAATTAATTGTAAAATATTTTTTAATTAAAAAATATTCAATTTTTATATAAACTATAAAATTTTTAAAAATTTCAATTAATTTAAAAATTAACCGAATTAACCAAAATTTAGTCGGTTCGGTTAATATTTTTAAAACAATTCGATTCAATTAATTGTTAAAGAAAAAAATTCGATTAATTCAATTAATAGTAATTTGATTCGATCGGACGCCCCTAGTTTCATACTTAAACCATCATCACTCTTCGGGATGAAAAGAAAAACACTTTGAACATAATCTTCAATGCAAGGAGTCTGCTTGATTGCATCATCCACAAATACAATGTACTTTGATTCTCAAAACCAAATCCTGAAAGATTTCGTTGCAATCAAATATAGTAAATCAATATAGACTTATAGTAATAGTAAATAATAAGTAATACAACAATTTCTAAAAAACCATCAAACATTGCAAATCCATCACACCACAATACAAAGCTATCCTATTCTTTACTGATGATATATATATAAATAGGCAAAACAAAGCTTACACAATACCTGGACAATCATAATTAATTACATTTTATTAAAGAACAAACTTAACCATTAAAATAGAGATAGCGATTATCAATTGTTTGCTTCCACCTTCACGAAACCCACCACCCCACTTCGCTTGTAGAAAATAGTACTTGATTTTTTGTACAAAATCTTCAACTTCGTTGCGGCAAATAGTACCGCAAAATATATCTCGGATTTTCTTTATTATCATCATCGTCTTCTTCTTCATATGCTATACACACTGAGGAGAGAACTCAAAAAAGATTCAAATAAATCACAGATAATAAAGTAAAATATAACTCAACTTCGATCGAGCTAGCTCACGCTTCCAGTTCTTTTTTTTTTTTTAATTCACCAGGTCCGAAACCCAATCCACGTTCGGACCTCCAGAAGACTGACTCGGGTTGAGGCTTTCCCGCCGGTTCTCTTTACTCAGTTTCTCAAACATATTTGCACGTAAATCCCTACCGGATTCAACTCTTTCCATATGTGGCTCTTCTTCGCACGCTTTATCCCACAAATCCAAGTACCTAACCCCATGACGGGTCAACTTTTGGGTCGGAGTACAAGGCAGGCTACAGAAACTGGGTCGGATCGCTGCTCCTCTCGGAGACCCGAACGCTGGAGAGCAACAGCCTACTTGTACGTTCGAGGAATTAGAAGGCAAGGACTTGACCTTTCCAAGATGCAAGTTCCTCATAGAAGCGACCATCTCATTAATAGAAGCTGAACCCAGAGACCGACTCAGTGACTGAGCCATAGTCGAAAAAGGGGACGAAGGCTCGGCTCGGGGACTCATCGGAGGTGAACCGGAACCAGGGGAAGACCAAAAACAAGTCGTTTTAGCACTAGAAGGTGAACCGTCATACGAATCGACGGAGTTGACGACCCGTAGCTGGTCCGGAGTATGAGCAAAGAAACAAACCCTACGCCTACAACCCGTCCCGTCTTTGCATGGCTGTGTTCGGTAACGAGCCGGGTGGAGCCAGCACTCGAAAACCCCATGAGCGAACTCGCAAGCATCTCCTTTGCGACAGCTTCCATTCCTAAACCCAGGACAAACCGTACCCGAGTAATTGTACCTCCTCGGATCCCTCCGACGAGCTTTCTCGCCCGGGTGAGCGTACGGACACTCGGTCCAGTCGTGTGCTCGGCCACGTGAACACCTTAATACTTTGAACTCAAACATCCGGAAATGATCACTAGAACAAGCGTCAACCGGAGAATCCGGGCCACTCCGCAGTCCCAAAAGCTCAGAATCCGACTCGGCATCCGGTTCGTTTGGTGGTACGTAACGTTCTAACGCTCGAAGCGCTTCTTGCGAGTAAAACGGATTACTGTGAACGTTGAAGTGGTGGCAGGACGCATTGTACTTCAGAGGAGAGTGAACATCAGCCGTTTGATAATCATCAAGGTCAGGCCAAGGTGGAAGGTGGACCGTAGGATTGTGACGACGAGTTTCTCCGAGCATGATTCTGTTTTGTTGGTGTTTAGGGTTTGAGAGATTAGTAGGCAGAAACACCAGCAAGGTTTGGTTGTTTTATAATTAGCAGAAACTGGCAGTGGGCAGTGTGAAGTATGGAAATTTTAACTGTGGTTCGGTTTGCTGTGGTCAGTTGGCTAAAAATCTATGAGCAAACTCTTTTTCCCTCTTCTATCTCTCCGCTTTCAACTGCGTAAAAAACCATTCAAGCAGAGGAGTTTTTATAAAAAAAAATCATCTAAATATTATAATATTATCTGATTAATATTATTTTTTATAAATTTTATTGATCTAACTCTCTTTATAATAAGACACGTTACGTCAAATGTGTTTTTTGAAGCACGTCTTCCATAGATAAAAAAAATTAAAGATTAAATATTTTTATTTTTATTTTACATTGTCAAATAAATATCACCTAAACACTTTAATACATCTATATAAATTAATTTTATTATGTTCTTTAACTCATAAAACTAATATATATTAAATTACAATGTTAGTATCTATAATTTTATTTTTTTAATTTTTTAAAACATAATTTTTAATATATTTTTAAAAAATTTAATATAGTAAGAAAATCTTAAAATACGTGTCCTTTCAAAAGTGTCTTCTTATTTTCCTTTTAAGTACGCATTTCAGATAATGTATTTGGTCCACTTAAATAAATATATATTTAATGTAATTCACTTTATTATAAATGATGTTAAATCGATAAAAGTTGACGAAAAAAATAGTTCTCTAACCTGTAATATTATAATATTTGAGTATTTTTAGGATAAACGCCTCAAGCAGCGGTAGTATTGGAGTCACGGGTTTGTCATTAAGCTCATTCGAAACTACTTTCGGCGTCGCCACGTTCGGCTATTTGACTGCAACGTGGCCTTAGCTTGGGAAACCTTGAAAAGTTATAAGGTGACAGACCGTGTGGTGATCTAAGCACTGGAGTTATTAATCAGGACCCCCAAAGGCGGTGGAGATTTTATTTTGTCTGCTACCATTAATGATATAAATAAGTTAATAAATGTTAGAGTCGAGAGGAAGAGAACAAAAAATATAACAAAAGGGAAAACGACTTACTCCAATTAATATTTATTTTATAGAATTTTATCTAATTTTTTTGAACATTTTAAATGAAATGAAAAATACCGTTTGACAACATATTAACCCTTGTTCTCTTTCTCCCTCCTATCCTTTTTTTTTTTTAGAGAAAATAACCTTAGTGATCAAAAATGTCTTATAATATACGATTTTAACCAATTTTTTTTAGATTTACTAAAATGACCAACTAAATCGCAATGCGATCGATAATTCGCAACACGATCTCCGGTATCGCAAATCAGTTTCCAGATTCGCAACGCGAACTTTGACTATCGCATTGCGATTTACATATTCGTATTGCGATAGTCCAAGTTCGCGTTACGATTTATTCCAAGTTCGTTGCGATAGTCGAAGTTCGCATTCCAAGTTCGCGTTGCGATAGTCGAAGTTTGCGTTGCGATTTATTCCAAATTCGTTACGATAGTCCAAAATCGCAACGACGGTATTGCATTTGTTTCTTAAGAATTTTCTCTAAAAATATAGTATTCGCGCGGACGTGTCGAAGATACGTATTACCACGATCACGACCACGACCCGACCCGAGACAGACGGCGGCAGCGGCAGCACGCGAGAGTCCCCCTTGTTCTCTATCACTCAACAAGGAAGTAGGAAAATCAAGCCTTAAATACAATTCCCAATAGTGTTTCCAATACTATGTGAGATTGAGCATTACCAACAGTTGTTCCCAATACTATGTGAGATTGAGCCTTAAATAGTGATATTATTTTTGAATGTTTTGCTTAAAATTGCAATAATCGCGATTGATTGTAGATTGACTTTTAATTATGACATATTTAATCGTATAATACTAATGCAATTGGTTACTGATTTAGTTGTTTTAAGGTGCATGATTGTTAATTGTTTCCTAAATAATCACATTGTATTGGAAACAAGTGTTGGTAATGCTCAATCCCACATAGTTTTGGAAACACTATTGGGAATGGTATTTAAGGCTTGGCTTTCTCACTTCCTTGTTGAGTGATAGAGAACAAGGGGGACTCTCGCGCGCCGCCGCCGCCGTCCGTCTCGGGTCGGGTCGTGGTCGTGGTCGTGGTCGTGGTCGTGGTAATACGTGTCTTCGACACGTCTGCGTGAATACTATCTTTTTAGAGAAAATTCTTAAGAAACAAATGCAATACCACCAGTCGTTGCGAATTTAGAATAAATCGCAACGCGAACTTCGACTATCGCATTGCGATTTACATATTCGCATTACGATAGTCCAAGTTCGCATTGCGATAGTCGAAGTTCGCGTTGCGAATCTGGAAACTGATTTACGATACCGGAGATCGCGTTACGAATTATCGATCGCATTGCGGTTTACATATTCACATTGCGATAGTCCAAGTTCGCATTGCGATAGTCCAAGTTCACGTTGCGAATCTGGAAACTGCTTTGCTATACCGGAGATCGCGTTGCGAATTATCGATCGCATTGCGATTTAGTTGGTCATTTTGGCAAATCCAAAAAAAAATGGTTAAAATCGTATATTATAAGGCATTTTTGATCAATGAGATTATTTTCTCTTTCTTTTATACCATTTTTTATAGATCAATAACTTTTTATTCTTTGATTTTCTTTAACGGGAGGTGATATCAATTTTGATATTAATTATCAATTGTAAATTATCTTCTTCTTCTTTTACTTTTTAGTAATAACAATTTTATTTTTATGACATGTTTATCTATATTTTTGTGATATATATTTTTTTCTGTCTTTTAGTAGATTTCGTTTATATTTTTTTCAGGGTTATATTTAAAATCTTCACAACTGCTCAAGAAGACGTTTATCTGTTATCATGGTGATATTCTCAGTTTTTTATTATCATATTGATTTAGATATGAGTTTTGCATCCGTAGATAGTTTTCTCAGATCGCTCAACTATGATTTACGTTTACTAGGAAACTTCATTTGTTTTTCTGATTTGGTTGTCGAATTTAAATTTATTCGAATCATTATTTTGTTCGAGCTTTGAGGTTAAGTTTTTTAATATTTCCTTCTTTAGTCCTTATGTGATGTAAGAAGTTAAACTTTTGAGCCAATAGTTAAGGTGACTAATTTTTTATCAATAGTTATAAAAAGTATCCTAATTATATTTAAGTTTATCGTTATAAAATTTTATTATAATTCTAAATATTTTTTATTTTAATAAAAATAACTCCTCTCTGAATATAAACCTTTTATATGAAAATTTGTTACACATTTAAGTACTTTGAAATTTTTTTAATGCTTTAAAATTACAAACTATCAAATGAATATAAACCACATATTTTATACAACTTTCTAAATTCTTCTGGACTATGCCCCAGTTTCCACGTCCAGGAAACCTGAAAGCCGGGGTCCTTGTCCCACTATTTCTAGCGCATTCTATGATTGATTTTATGAGACTTTTGGGAAACCAAAATATCGGGAGAGGAATGAAATCGAGTGGATCGTCGGTCGCCAATTTAACAAGGACAAAGCCCAACCACGTGTATACATGGTGTTATATACTACGGAGGGATGTACACATGGCTCCGTGACAGAAGATGCAAATTGAGACCTTGCCGTAGCAGAATAATTCCCCTCCCGCTCTGTGGGACAATTGTCTTTCATTGCTACCGTCTGTACCGTGAAAGATCACAACGTGTCTGTCTACTTTTGTTTATTTTATATTTTCTTGAATTTGACTTGTTCTTTATTTTATTTTGCAGCAAATATAACAACTTTCCGATTCGATAAGATAAGATTTAAGAGTTAAATTATCAAGTTTTTGATTTCGTAAGATTATCTGACGTTAGGGATGAGACTGAGCGGGGTTGGGTCGGGTTGGATTTTCAGTCCATCAAACTCGAAAATTATAAATACTTCACATAATTTGAATTCAATCTGAAAAATATATATATTACACTTTATCTAAATCTAATTTGTTTTTTTGAGATAAAATCTGAATCCGATCTAATCTGAAATAATTTTTTTATTAAAAATTATTTTTATTTAATAAAAATAGAGATTTAATTGAAAGAAAATAATATATAGAAGATTATTATTGCAATTATCCTTAAATATATACGGTAAAATTATAATTTTTCGGGTCAGGTCTAATAAGGTATTTTTCATCCTAAACTCGAACCCGACCAGTCCCGAATATAAATTTTAAAAAACGACATGAACCCATTTTTAAAAAAATCAACCTGATCAGATCGGGTCGACTAAAAACACTTCAGATTCGAGTTCCTGTGCTCATGCCTAATTAATAAAATAAAGTTATTTTCTTTTTGATAGAAAGTCGCTAATTCTATTAAAAATTAAAAAAATATCCAAAATTACAATGAAAATTTATAAGTATAATCGTAAACCTAAAATATAACTATGACATTTACCTAATATCATTGAGACAAAAATTAACCACCTATATCACATAAGAACCAAAGAAGAAAAAGTTTAAAAAATCTACTCGAATAAAACAAAGATACTAACAAATTTGACTGTATCGGTAAATGAATCACAAAAGAGGATGAAACTATTGAAAGACCACCAACAAATCGCAAATAAGAGTCAAACGATATGAGAAAACTATCCCCGACGCAAAACTCGTATTCAAATCAATTTTAGGGTCAAAAGCATGGAAGATCATCGTGATAACAAATAAACGACATCTTGATCAGTCGTGGCGATGTCAAATCCAACCTTAAGAAAAAAGATAAACAAAAACAATGATAAAAAACCGTAAGCTACCAAAAGACAAAGAAAAAATATCACAAAGAAAGAGATAAATGTGCCATAAAGATATAGAAGATGTCACAAATATATAATTATTCTTATTAGAAACTAAAAAAAGAAAAAATAATATACGGACGACAACTAACATTAAAATCAGTTCCGTCATCGGTTAAATAAAATTAAAGAAGAAAAAAATCAGATTAATCAATAAAATTTACATAAATTATAAATTTAAAAAAAGAAAAAGAAAGAAGAAGAAAGCGGTTAGAGTTTTTAATACTATAAGATTATTTATAATAAACAACATTGTAAAATGAAATACGAGAACAATGCCGTTACTTTACGCCTGTTGGATAACAATTGTT